TCGTAGTCCTGACGTTTTAACGAACTCTGCATTAACCCAGAGCGCTCGGCGTTGTAGTGCTTGGAATGGATCAAAAACGAGAACACGCGATCGACAAAGATTTCATGCGCGAGCCTGATTCGCTCTGACACGAAATAGTCGATATTGCATTTGCATCGAGTTCAGAATCACACGGCAACTAACGCAGTAAGTGAATGTAACTGCTCTGCGTGCTATTGCTGTGACGATTGCCACCGATTTGATTAATATAATTGTCCGGCCTCGTGTACGTACGCGAGGTTTAATGTGCTCGCGATATTCCTGGCAGATGGGTGGCCTGCTGGTCGAGCCTGCAGAACAGAATCTGCCGGCCGCTCAGCATCAGTATTATTATTTGCAGCTCCATCAGATTGATTTGAATACCGGCGAACCCCGACACCGCAGTGCGCATGCGCGCCGGCGCGCGGCCACGGTGGCGAGTCAGACAACGGCTGAAGTCGTTTCCAAGGCTTCCATTCCTCTTCCAGCAAGACTCCGCCACCATCACGCCTCTCGTAGCTCTCCAACCGATAGCAATGCCCGCTCTCTCGCTGTCCAGCGCGCTGGAGTGGCAGGTGCAACGTCCAGCTCGACATTAGACGTTGTCGCTTAAGCTTAGAGAGGCCATTTCACACACTGGATCGTCGATACCGAAATATTCCTTCCCGTCACATCGATAAGCGGGCCAAATGCATTAGTCGCTCGCGAGGCAGTAATGATCTGGACAGACATCACCGGTAAGTGGCACCTACCCTTGATTATAACGTTGTTCCGATGGATGTAGCGTACATCCATAAAAGCAGAAGATGAGCTGATGCCGCGTGCAACGATAAATTATATCTCCTGTTAAAAACGTCCATATTTCAGCTTTTAGTGACATTTCCTGTTCGGTTATTCTTTATTCACGCTACATACAGAACGCGCAGCGAGGTTTAGCTGTTCAGTGGAGTGGCAAAATAGGTGAAATCGTGATTTGATAAATTGTCTATAATGCTGCTGGTAATGCTGCGTGTTGTTCCTCATATTCCTTTGTTCTTTCCTTTTTTGCATGTAAGTTTAAGGAATATATATATATATTACATATTGACATCTTTTGGTTAAAATAGAAAGGTAAAAGCTTAATTTTATTTATGTATATGTGTGATTACACGCTTGTATGTGTGTGAATGTGCGTGCACGTGCGCGTGTGGTAGGTTTGCGGTTACTCGTACTGAATATACTGCTACTGGCCGTATACACGCGCGCGCGCGTGTGTGCGTGTGAGTGCGTGCGTGCGCCATTACGTCAGTTTTCCATATTTCTGCGCGTGCACGCGTGTGTGTGTTTTTGGGGTGTATGGTTGCATATTCTGGTTCGCGTGGGTGCGTTCGTACGTAGGCCTACGTACATGGGTCCGCGTGCGCGAGCCCGTGCCCCTGTCGCTAGGCTACGTATGAGTTCATGCCCGTGCGTGCGTGTGTGCGTGCGTGCGTGCGTGCGTGCGTGCGTGCGTGCGTGTGTGTGTGTGTGTGTGTGTGTGTGTGTGTGTGGTGTTGTGTGTGTGTGTGTGTGTGTGTGTGTGTGTGTGTGTGTGTGTGTGTGTGTGTGTGTGTGTGTGTGTGTGTGTGAGCGTAAGTGTGATAATGCGGCTATGTGTGTTGGAACACGAAACGTGCTTTATATGCGAATTTCATGTGAATATGCCATGCCACATTTTCAGCTTCATTGCATTCAAGCACATATGTTATGCAGATGAATGGGCGTTCCAACTTCATTAATGTCGGGATTTTTTTTACGGATATTCTGTCAACGAAAACGTATATGATTAATTTATCCGCAGTAACGATATCAGTGTTCATGTATATCGCGAATAAAGATATAGGCAAATAGCATTAGCTGTGTATACTATGAACGCCATATACTTGATATAGTAGTTATGCGTTGTATATGTGGCAATACAGTGAATCAAAGCGACAGGAATGTTCATTTTAAACGAAGCACTAGATATGGAGTAGGAAATGTAAAAATTTATTATTAATCATTAAAAAATAAAAAAATGTGCATTTCTGGATATTACTAATGTATTCACGACAACGAAGCTCGTCATTCCCTAAGCAGTATTTATATTTATGTTAATGGTAGGTATCTTCGAAAGTGTCTATATAATAAACCTGTCAAGCGACATTGTGTTATTCGTTGCATGTTTTATATATTTTAGTACCGCAGCTGAATATTTTTAAATACAACACGCGACTAAATAAAAATAGCATCTGTGTGGAATTAAATGTAGCGAAGGATAAAGTAGCTTCCAGAATATCGACAGGCAGTAATATTGTTCCCTCTGCGGCCCGGGTATTATTACCCAACACACACCGCAGCGCATCTACAGATGGCCTACCTCAGGTTATGAGTCATACATGAGGTTACACACGACCAGTCGATCGTGCATCTTCGGGCTTTACGGGATAAAAATTAGTTTACTTTTAACTTCCATCAAGGACGGAAAATCTTGTAGTTTTTGTATGACACGCTTGAAGTGACACGCTTCACATGAGACCTTACCTAGACTTTCAGGCGCTTCAAGTGCTACCTTTTCGAAATGTATAAACCTGATTTAACAATTTTGCAACTATTCAATTGTTAATTCTGCAACAGTGTTATATAACAACAGCGTGATTCTGCTCCATTTCTTCTAGATATGAGCGAGATGATGCCGAAAATCTAATTAACTCAAAGAATATACTGAACTAAGCCAAATAATAATCATGTATTTTAGTTAGTTTATTTAATAATTACCCTGAACGTTTCGTCAAGTTAATAGCGATTGGAGTAATTTCCTTTAATATAAATGGTGCGCCTCGTATTTTATCGAAGCTTTCATGAATGCACTTAGACGCTGAAAGCGTCTTGACTAGTAACGCAAATTGTAACTGAATATCGGTAAATAATAAGCGTCAAATTGACACATATTGCCCGGAAAATGCCTGTATGGTCCCATGTGGCTCCACAGCGCATAGGTTTCAGGCAATGCTTTAATCTGTCTGAAACCATGATAGCGCAGGAAAATATTCGCACTATAGGCGGGATCCGTATTTGTCTGACGGACCAGGGGCTTCTAATTGACTTACGGTGCAAATAGCAGTGGTACAAATTATGAGTCAAGCATGTGTCTCTCAGCGTTTTACTGCGCATGCGTCGACTCCTTTCAAGAGGTTGCCACGCCGTGAGAGGAATAAATGCGAGTTCATTTCTGCGCGTTATTGTGTGGACTTCTGGCGAGACGTATAATTAAGTATTCCTCCGCAATTTCTCGTTGGCGTAGGGAATGTTCCAAGCAATAAGAGGACGCTAATAATTGTCTTTCTGTGCTGAAAAGGAAGATATGAGCAGTCGCGTTTGTTCTGTAGTACTTGTGTATTTTGTGTGGGTTGGAATCGCGTGTCTAATAAAACTATATTACTGTTATAAAGTCGATCCAGTGGGCGGTTAATGAAAATAAAAGTAAGAAGGATAGAGAAAATGTATTTTATGTCGGCATCTCGTATTGCTATAGCCTGCTCGTTTGCGCGCATGCATGCTAAAGACAAAGACATTTGCCTAAGCTTGCTAACCCATTTTCCACAAAGCGCCAAATTAATCCGGAAGGGACTTTCGACAGCTGTGGCCCTATCCATTGAAGTATTTGCAATAGCGAGCAGTCACAACCTTTTGCCAGGTTTTACTTCAGTTGAAGTAGGTATCTCAACATTTTTATTCTCTGTCTGTCTGTCTGTCTGTCTGTCTGTCTGTCTGTCTGTCTGTCTGTCTCTCTCTCTCTCTCTCTCTCTCTCTCTGTCTGTCTGTCAGTCCGTCGGTCCGTCCGTCCGTCTGACCGTCTGTCCGTCTACCCGCCTGTCCGTCTGTCCATCTATCCGGCTGTCTGTCTGTATGTCTGTTTGTCTGCCTGCCTGCCTGTCTGCCTGCCTAGCTGTCTGTCTGTATGTCTGTATGTATGTATGTCTGTCTGTCCGTCCGTCGGTCCGTCTGTCCGTCGGTCCGTCCGTCCGTCTATCCGTCTGTCCGTCTACCGCCTGTCCGTCTGTCCATCTATCCGTCCGTCTGTCCGCCTGTCTGTCTGTCTGTCTGTGGGTCTGTGTGTGTGTCTGTCTGTCTGTCTGTCTGTCTGTCTGTCTGTTTGCCTGCTTGTCTGCCTGCCTGTATGTCTGCCCATCTGCCTGTCTGTCTGTCTGTCTGTCAGCATGTCTGTCTGTCTGTCTGTCTGTCTGTCTGTCTGTTTGTTTGTTTGTTTGTCTGTCTGTTTGTCTGTCTGCCTGCCTGCCTGCCTGTCTGTCGATGTTTCTGTGCGTTTTCCATTTCAGTTGGTTACCCTTTATTCACCATGCAATGACCGACTCTATAACAACTGCCGCTGTGTAGCCAGTCATCGGGTTGTTGCCTAGCGTGTACGCAAGTGTACAGTACTGCAATGATGGTACGGCCGTGCAAGCCACGCCGGAAGACGTCTGCATGCCGCGCCCTGAAAGGAAAACCCTGCGTGCGACTGAGCCGGACGTTTACAACCACTGCGGAAGTTACGAGTGCGCGGAAATAACGTAGTGCGCGGGTCTGGGCACTATATCTGTGCGCATAGCTACGACCATTTACGCATGTGATTCTGCCCACACAGGTCATCGCCTCTCGGTGACATGCCGCGAGACAGCAGTGTCGCGATGATGCCTATACGCTAGATGGTGAGAGTGCTCTAGCAGAGTGCTGTTATGCGACGCAGCTTTATTTCCACATCGATATATCGCCTACATTTAGTGCATAGCCAATAGCGAGTCAGAGAGAACGATATAAAGAGATTCGGATGCCATTGTCGTGTTGAGTCGTCGCATTAGCAGGCTACTACTATCCGTTATAAAACGATCATCTATGTTATGTGCGTTCTGTAAAAAACCCTCATCGCTGTAACTTACGTTAAAGGCACTGATTTCATCGTTTCTGTTTGCTTAGATGACGACCCTATCGTAAGCATTGGAAAGAGCCACGATGACGTAGGCATTGTATTTCGGCTGGACTGAAACTGACCTTTATGAGTATAGGTACGTAAATTGCCTGCGTGTGTGCGTGTGTGTGTGTGTGTGTGTGTGTGTGTGCGTGCGTGCGTGAGTGTGAGTGTGAGTGTGAGTGTGAGTGTGAGTGTGAGTGTGAGTGTGTGAGTGTGTGAGTGTGTGAGTGTGTGAGTGTGAGAGTGTGAGAGTGTGAGAGTGTGAGAGTGTGAGAGTGTGAGAGTGTGAGAGTGTGAGAGTGTGAGAGTGTGAG